CGTCATGGTGGCGAGCCTCTCCGCCATGTGGTTCGGTATCTCTCTCTCTCTCTCTCTCTCTCTCTCTCTCCTGCTGGAAAAAGAGGCGATCCAGAAGCGCCATGGCGGTGATCCTCTCCGCTATTTGATCTGCGCGCGCGCTCTCTCTCTCTAAAAGAAAAAGAGGCGATCAAGAACCGCCATGGCGGCAATCCTCTCCGCCATTTGATTCGGTAAGAAATCCCCTCTTCCCGACGGAAAAGAAAGATGAGATCCTAAACAATATCTTACGCTCCATCTGCTTTGCTCCTGATTGATCTCGTCCGATCGCTGCTGCAGTGGCATTCAGCCGATGAGGGAATCAGCTCCCCCCTCGAATCTTGGAAGAGAAGCACCCATGATCCCTACTCAGTAATGCTTCCGCGCCCTGCAGCGTGTCACGATGCATCCGTGTCCGGTTAATCCTTGGACAAACGAGCGAGTTCCAAGCTTTGATGTTATCCGTTTAGGGTTTTTGTCCCCATCTTTCTCTTTTCCTTTATACTTGTTGCTTCGTATGGTTAGTTATTGCTGATGAAATCTGAGGTCGAATTCAGATTTATGGCGTAATCAGTTCCGTGATTATCTCAGGGAAGTTGGAGAAGAACGGGATCGGGTAGAGGCGAGCGATGTCTCATTTGGCGTATTCTATTTCACTACGAGAAGCAGCTGAAGCTTGATGGGGATTTCAGGTAAGTCTATTCTCTTCTATAACTTAGTTTTTCTTCTGCCTGATGCTGATTTGTGTTTTGCCATAGTTAGGAATTCAATTTTATGCATCTCGTCGTGCCTTTTCCTTGATCCGTCTGCACCATCTATCTCTGATGCTTTCTTCCTTTTGCCCTTTCAAGATAATAGTCAAATTTTAGCTTCTCTCATTATATCTGCAATTCTTGAATTCTTGCTACATAATATAGAGCCACAAAATTCATGAATGTAGCCGACATAGTAGCTACTTTTGCAATTCCCTTATTTTCATCTATTGTCCACATGATCATACAATGTGTAGTGTGATATTTGTGTTGGGTCGAGTATTAGGATAGGAGTATTAGGTAAGTCCGCATCATGAGAAAGACAAGGATCAATTTGGAGTCAGGGCAGAAGTGGGCGAGAGGATACGAGGGAATTGTGCTTCATAGACATGATCTAGTGGTAAGGGCATAGAAGTAATAAACCTCATTATTCTTTATTAGTTACGGTACTGTGGATTATTGCAAAGCAGTTTATAGTCAGTCTTCACAAGATGTTCCGACTTGTTCTGAGCCTTTTAAAGATGCAACGAGATGAATTAAAAAGAAACACACTGATGATTTGTCATCATTTTATTACCAATTTGGTTTACAAAATTAAGATAAATTTGGCCAAATAATCTATCTATCATTAGTTTGATTTTTTTTTTTTTGAAGTCCAAGAATTGTTTGATCATTTGTTCGATAGATGAATCTATAGGCTGTTGCCCTAACATTAATATGGTAAAAGTTTAGAGAGGGTCACCCATATAGATAAGCAGCGCTCTAACAGAGTTCATCAGGGATTAACTTAGGAAACAACAAGTGTATAGCACCAAACAGATCTCCCCTCTAAACATAGGGGACTAAGTAAAACGCAGCATAATGTGATGATGGTGTATCGGCATCCACCATCATCACCAAGGAAATTAAAGTGAAAACAGGGGAAAGAAAGAAACAGGTTCGTATAAGATGTGCCACTGTCACGAAAGCCCTGTGGCTGGCGCTAGGGGCAAATGTCTTAGGTGTTACTATCAACAACGGACTTCAGTACAGTAGATCATGACGCGCGTGCACACACAGTCTCTTGCACATTGTGTTTGTATGTGTGTGTGTGTGAGAGAGAGAGATGGATGACTGATCTTCTGAAAATCTTGGTGAAATTTTCAGAGGCCTAATCGCCAAGCATTCAATTAGCGCCCCAAATATACACTAGTAGTTGGAAAGTGGTGTCTATTCAGAAGCCTTGCATCGAAAATAGTAGAAGCAGTCAATGAAGATGACCTAGAAGTCAAAGGCACCAAATTTGTGGCTTCTCCGGCAACTATATTTCCAATTAAACACGCATTGCCAAAGTTTGCAGCACAATTAAATACATAAAGTAGCTGGCAGAATGACGCTGGGACTGTTTGTTGACGATGGCGCAACAAACGAGGATGAAAAGCACATCGCACTTGTAAAATGACTCTAAAAAATATATATGACAGACGCATACAAGAAACAATTGTTTATGTAAGATGCAGAAGAAAGATACCACGGGGCAGGGATACAAGTCATGATGTCATATTTTCTCCTCAATTGCGTCAATCATCATAAAGACACCACAGGGGAATGCGGCGGAGGGGTTTGTCCCGTCGATGAGAGCCTTGAGCTCGCCGGACTCGTGGAGGCGGCAGATCTCGTCGGCGCCGCCAAGGCAGCGGCCAGCGAGGAAGACCTGCGGGAGGGTGGGCCGATGGCGGCCTGGAGCTCGGCGAGGGAGCGCGAATCCACGGAGAGGTCGCGTTCGTCGATGACGACGCGGAGGCCGCGAAGGATGGAGCGGACGGCGCGGCAATCCTCGAAGGTGCGGCGGACGATGTGGAGGGAGGTGAAGTAGAGGACGACGGTGCCGCGTCGGTCGGGATACGAGGCAGCGGAGCGGAGAGCACGAAGGGCGGAGGACGCGGGGCGGGCTCGGTGGATGACGCGGCGGAAGACGTGGGAGGAGGGGTGTTCGTCGGCGTCGTCATGGACGATGGCTTGGAGGTTCCCGAGGTGGGAGGTGGTGGGAGAGCGGAGGGACCTCATAAGGTCGAGAGAGAGAGAGAGAGAACTGACGCCTTCAAGCAATCGATTTTCTTATATATTTCTCTAAGTTAGAAGTTTAATAGTTTGCAAAATAAATGCATATGGCAGATTCGAAAAGTTCCGAGGAGCGGGACATCTTCCACTTGCTATTATCCTGATTCTCCGATTTTTTGAATTTAATATTTTACCCCATTGACTTATCCTGCTCCTTTTTTTTTTTTAACCTTATCGTGCTCATGTTCAGGTATAAAAGATGCTCCAATTTTACCCCATTCGAAAAGTGCTGATGCTCCAATTTTTGAATTTGTTATTTTATTTATCATGCTCCTTTTTTTTTTATTTCCCTTATCGTGCTCATTTTGAAGTGTCATTTTCGGTCGACGAAGCAAGTTTTAACTGAAGTTTTGATTGTACGGAAAATATAAAAGATTAACAAGAGGAAGAAAACAAATAAAGAAAATTGGAAGCTTAAATTTTCGCTAAATTTTTTTTGTTAACTGGAGTCAGCAAAAGAAAATATATTAAGTAGCCATTACGAAGAGTGAGAAAATACTATTTAAAGAAAAATATTTACTTTAATCGGGTGTATTTGAAATTTTAAAATCTTTCGGGTGTCTCTTTAGTTTCGCTCGCATTGGTCGCGCTACTCAGACTCGTGGCCACCCTACGACGGAGACGGATCGTTCCTTATTTAAACAGCGTCGTCACAATGTGGTGTTAAATCCGTATGAAAATTGCGTACAGCACTCACCTGTAACATGATAACGAAATCTATAAAATCAGAACATTGTGCTTGCAAGTTGGATTAAGTAAATGCAGATTAAGTTAATCACTTGGCACTGGCTGCATGAACACATGAGCAAAAGAACAATTTAAAATCTCATAAATAATTTCCAGCTGGGAAAATAACCCCCAATTTTCAGTAAGGTACCGGCAATTTTGATTTAGCAAAATAATGTAGAAACCGGAAAATTCAGATGCACAAGAACACCGAGGCTTTCAAAAGCTAGCTGATTATAAATGAGAACACTCACGGAATCTCAACCTTGACTTGTTATTGAAGAAAGACAATGATCGTTGCACGATTCTGTGAAAGACCGAATGGTTCAAGAAGGCACAATTCTGGTCTGATCCAATGATCTGAAACAAAAATTAGCCCACATCTACTAACTTCTTCAGCCAACAAAGCTTCCAATAGAGAAATAAATAGATCAAGATCAATCAAAATAGTTCTGAACTAACAAATACAGCATAAAATCAATAGACATCGAGTGACTTTAGCAAATTTGGCAAACTCACAACGGGGATCATGGGCAAAATTAACCCACGGCCAAGAAACTTGGTCTGTTACAATTTGGCTTTGGGAAATACAAATTGGGTTTAGTTGACCAAGCCAAAAAAACAATGACCATATATCATGCATCAAAAAGACCCAAAGGACAATTATACACTCCATAGAAAATATCCTTGCTTCCCATACAATAGTAGTCAAATGAAATGCAACAAACAGGATGCTAATATTTGAACATTTATAGAAGGAAATAGGAACTAACCTTTTCCAACTGAACTGGATTCAAATAAAGATCCTGGAGGCAGCTTCTAGGCACACAGTTGCAGCACTGTGGCACGATGAAGAGCAACACCAGCATCACCGACGATGGCACCAGAGAATCATGTAGCTTACCCATCTGTTATAATTTTACTCATGTTAAAATCAGGTGACACTGTCAAATCAACACCATCAACTAACTTGTTCAATTTATTTGCCCGATCAAGAATGGCAACTCCTAAATCATAATATCTATCTCAATGATATGATTGGTAAAACCGGTCCCAAAATCAACTACTACAAATCTTGAAAACGTCTTGACAGATTGATTCAACATATACATCAAATATACAATACAGCATATGTTAACGAAGATCATGTGAACGGAAAGACGTGTTTGATGAATATCTTCTATTCAACGCATTAAGTATGCAGCATGAAATATGAATCCACTCTATAATGTAGTTGCTAAAGAATAGACAGCGAACTTCACCTACAGGCCTCACCAGTTCTAAGGATGGCAGAAAGGAGAAGACATTACCGAGTCCTCATGATTTATTTCCAGTAAACTTGAAAACTAAGGAATATCTTTTTTTTTTTTTTTTTTGCAGTTAAGCTGCACTAAACATTTTGTTCTCATGGTCTCTCAAGCCTACCAAATTGATATGAGTGGAACGTCTAACTTGATCACAATGTTCTCATCCTGAGAAGGCACAACGACATCGAAATGGTGCCCACAGGAAACACAACATCTTTCCTTTCTACAAGTAAATAAACATAAATAAACACACAGTATTATGTGAGAGAAACCAAGACTCCTAGGATTGGATTGACCAGTGACTATATAAACTCGACAGAATGGACTGGAATCATCCAAGGAAATAATTTAGATAAGTTTTAAAAAATATGTTAAAAATTTCTTTTACCTTGATATTGCCTGAGCTATGTAACTTTCAAGAGAAGAATTATAGAAAACAAATTATTCAAAGAATTGTAGTGAAAATATAGATAGGCACCTGAAGTACCTTGTGACCACTGAGGGAATACAGATTAAATTATTTTGTTGAATAGAACAATTATAAGATCAGTTATGATTCAAGTCAAATATGGTACTCTGGAATTCACGTAATGTGGTTGAAACATGGTAACTCGAAAAGCACAAGAAATAGAAAGATATTTGTTGTTGTTGTTGTTGTTGGTTTGCATATATTACCTACGTAAGAGAATAAACAAGACAAAAAGTTCAAGCGAAACTCATTAAAATAATCATGAACAACAAAGCACATTCATCACAAGATAAAGAAAACATCAAGAACTCATGTAAACCTCATCAAAGAACCTGTATATCACGTATATCATCAATCAACAAGTGACATAAAAGTGAAACAGAGTTTATAGCAAGAAATTGTCACCTACTCGATCAACTCTTTTTTTTTTTTTCTCTTTCTTGAGTAAAGACTTCATCTAACAATATAATCTCTAGGAATGAAACAGCGGTAACAATTTTACAATCCAAATAATGAACAGGCAAATTTGTGTGGTTTCAAAATTACGTTCTATTCAACTATAATAAGCAATTCAAAGAAAGATAGCCATCCACCATTTCAAGAAAAGAGAACATGTCGAGAGAAAGAAATGTTTACCTATATTCGCGCCTGGACCCTGAAGCCCAAGAGATGAAATCGTTGGATGCAAGGGGGCGATGGTTCCTCTCCCTACCATATACTGCTGGATCTGGGCCATGCAAGTTCTCGTCGATCTCCGACTGCCTGGTGTTCCCATTTTCGTCGGCTTTCAAGCCATTGGCCCGGTCGGTTACCTATTTCATCCGCCGATAACACCGCCGCCTCCAAGAAATTCGATCAGTTCCTTTTCGCTTTCTTCGACACCGGCTCTTCTGCCATCTGTTCGTGGTCGTCTTCAACCTCAACTCCCGCAGAGTTCTTTCTACGACAATAAAGCAGCACATTGCTCAAAACCCCCCACCAGACCAAGAACAATCAGAAATGAGAAAAATCGAGACAAGAACACAACAACAACATGGCGAATGGCCGCAAGAGCCACCGCAACGATCCCCTAACCCTAACGACAGAGAGGACAAAAGACACAGAAAACGTACCCGAAGACCGGAGTCGGGGCGGGATGCAGAGATCAAGCGGAATCGCCGCTTCTTGATCGTGATCCCTTATTCATCCAGAGGGTTTCAAGGCGAAAAGGATGAGGCGGTGGAGAGACGAACAACGGCATCACACCACTCTCAACCACCTGGCTTATTTATATGCTGTTATGGTAAGGCGGTTGCGACGAGCGATGCCGCTCTGCACACACATTTATAGATATAATGTTTCTGTTTTTCCAAACAAAAAAGAATTCGACAAAGTAGTATATTGCATTTTCGAATCGTTAGAAAATAATAAAAAATACTTCATTAAATAATTAATTTTCTGATAAAAACAATCTTGAAACCCAACTCAACCTTCTAATGTATTATTATTTTCTTCCTCGCAGTATGACGACGGCCATCAAATATGTTGTTCGAGAAGGGCATAGTGGATAACTACGAGATCGCGACCGTTCAGATGAACACAGGAGTCCAGAAGCAACGGATGACATGACTTGCCAATTCTTGACTTGCATCCTATTTGGTTCAGTAAAAGAAAAGAAGCTGAGGACTGTGTCGTGAGAGAAGAGGTGGTCTAATCATAGGATTAAGACCATCATCGCAACTGGTGCAATGCATGCGTGCCTGACTGTTGTTTTTGGGACATGGACTACTTTACCGGAGTCCGTAAAACGTGAGACTCCGACACGACGGTGTGGGTGGAACGAAGTGTTGGGAAGAAAGGCGGGGACGGGGAATATGACATAAAAATAAAAGACAAGGGTTGATGCGACGCTGACAAGATCGATGGGCACGGCTTTGTCCAATGCTTGATGGTGAAGACGGTAATGGGTGTACCCGGGTGTGGGGGATTCCTACGTCCCGCGAGCCCAACAAACGAAGGGTCAAAGATCCAATCTCGTAGCATCCCGAGTACAGAGATCAACTTTGGCTCAGCTTGGTGTGGGCGATGGAAGCAGTAGCAGTCGGTGTTGCAGCGGCACGCCGTGGTCGAGCGAGAGAAATGCTCCTGGGAGAAAGGACCGAGCTGTGAGTTGCCGTGGTTGGATTGCAGAAAAAGGTCGGCCACATCGGTCGTCCGGTTCCGCTGGTATGCTGGTTTACCTGCTCGGCTCATGCTAACAAGGGGGTCCCATGTTGTTGACCGGAGGAAGAAATCATATGAAAATAAATGTTTTTATCTTGTAGTTATTCAATGAAAGGTATAGGGTTTCCTTTCCTATCGTTTTGTGTCTCACTGTTACCGGTCTCGTTTACCGACGCGCAGGGAAGCAGGAATGTCCCTCGCCTGCTGCTGGCTGCTCCTCCCCTTGTTAAGCTCAAAGAAGGAGGGGGAGGACGCACATGTCGATCCTCTCCATTTTCGATCACAAGGGTTAACTTTCCGCTGGATTTAATTAGATCAGCAGGCTGAGAGTAATCCATGGATGATGTTTGTTTAGCATGTACAACCTTAATCTTCACCTTAAATATATGTTATATGTTGTGGGAAACAACTTTGAG